GAACAATCCAGTTTGACTTCACCGCGACATCAGCAAACATGGAGGTTGAGACCAATGCCCAGTCTATCTCACTGCCAGTGTTGCATGTGGCCTCTCCAGTTGCTAGGGCCTGCATCTGCATGACCTGTGCCATAGTGGTGGTCATGAAAGCACCTGGATCCAGGTTGAAATCGCCTGCAACTATCACCGGTTTGTGCACACTGGTGACAAAGGACAAAAGGCCCGCCCACAACTGTGAGTTGGTTGGTCCTTGCAAACCTTCCCCACACTTGAAATAGGCGAAGACCAGGATGATTTCACAGTTATCAAAAGACCACACCACCCCATACCAGCCACATCCATCGATGATCTGCTTCTGAACAAAGTGGAAATGGAGGTGGTTCAAGATGATCATCATCCCCCCGATGGTGCCTCCTTTGACACTCTCTGCTGCCGGTTCACCCATGGCGCCAAGCCCTCGAGTGGCTAGCCACTGCATGGTTTTCTCATGGTCTAACTTGCCTAAGTGTGTCTCCACAATGCATATTGGCTGCCTCGGTCGAGTAAGCAACCATTGCCTCACTCCCTGACCAAGCTGGGTCACGTTGGCCAAGTCAAATTGCACATTCTCCTGACGTTGTCTCTTTGTGGATGTTTCACACACAGGCCTTTCCACCTCCTGCTTGACATCACTAGGGACATCTGCCGGCAGCAATCTTTCGGACGGTATGGCCCAGACTTGAACAATCTGCTGCTGCGTTTGCTTGAGAACTTGTGGCATCACTCTTGGATAGGCACCATCATCGACAATCCAGCTGAGGCCCCGATGCAGGAAAACAGCATAATAGTGCCCACTGTTGTGTGTGTTGCCAGCATGGCACAGATAACCAATGACTGAGAACTGCCTAGTTCCTGTGGCATTGCTGTCCAGCGTGACCGGCAGGTTGAAAATGGAAGGGACCTGAAGAGCTCTGTGGTGTTTGGTCCACTCTCCACTGACCTTGGCATAGCGGCCCACTTGAGCCACCCAAAGGCCTAGCCCATCAAACACTTGACCCTCTTGGAAGTTGGCCCATTCGGAGATGAGATGCTCCAGCTCTGCTGGTCCTTCCTTTTCTGGGAAGACCAAATGAACTGGGAAAGCTTGCCGTTGATGAACTTGTTGCCCAAAATCAACCGAATGGTAACTCTTGATGACTTGCTCTGTTTGTGCAAGGTCAACCATCTCCTGCAGAAAATAAGATGCATCATCTTGGGTGTCATCATCAAATTTGTTCCACAGAGATTCCAAGCCTGGCAAGGCCGGCAAGTGTACTGCGTCATCCGAGTTCAGTGCCCCCTGAACTGCAGGTGTTGTGAGCCGCCATAGCTTCTCTCCTCCCATGAAGCTGCCAGCCCACGCCCATAAGCGGAAAGCAGAGTTTGCATAGCACCGATTTCTGGGGTTGCCCAATCGGCACTGAAGGTTTTGTGCCACGTAGTCCAGAGAACTCATCGATCCTCTGAAACTATTGGCGGAGCCAAAAATTTCTGAGATTTCTTCTTCTGGCGAGCTGAGTATTGCGTCTTCACCAGCTCCCCCACAAAGTCAGATCCTCATGGCCTGACCCCCCCATCTCAGGGTTGGCTGCCACAGCTGCCTGTCCGGAGCCAAAATCTGCACAACCAAATTCTTTGCCATGACATTGCCCCATGTCGTAACCTTCGAGTCTGGTTGTGTGTTCCCCTTTCTGCTTGCTATAGCATGGATGGTTACCCACACTTCCTCCTTTTTGACGCGCTCTCTGCAAGCTTTGATGCCAAATCCTGGACCTGGGCACTTGTCGCCTGCAGTCCGACACTGGCCATTGCAGTGATGAGCGCCTCTGGTGAGAGGTCGTCCGCCATGTCAGCATCGTTCTGCTTCTCTTGCTCGAGTTGTTGATTGTATTGTGTTGTCGTCGTTTGCAACTCTTTCTGCGCAACTTCGATCTTGCCTTGGAGCTCCTTGAGATCTTGCAGCAACTGAGTGTACTGGGCCTTCACGGCGTCTGCTTTTTGCTGGAGTGCTGCCTTCTTCTCTGACAACTGCTTTAAGGAACCAACTGCCTGTTTGACCTTTGACGCAAGGGTAGGCTCTGGTTTGTCTGGGGTGACAATCTTCTCTACAGCCTCCTTCAAGTCTGCTGGTAAGCTCGGCAAATGTTCTTTGATGAACGTCGGCAGATCCTGCGTCACCGGTGGTTCTGGTGCTTGCCAACCCATGGCCATGCATTGATTGCGGAAGGCTTCTGGCAACTGATTCCAGTGTTCTTTCATGGCCTTTTGTAGACCTGAGTCTTTGACCTTTCTGGTTTTCTTCTTGCCACACCCTTGGAGGCCAGGAGGAGGATCAAGAAGCGCATCCTTGAAGGTCTTCTGCGGCCATTTGCTGCCACCTCCTGGGAAGTTCCAAGCAGCCCATGTGACCTTTCGGCGAAGATCTGGTAGGAGGTTCTGCTGCCATGAGGTTCCACATTGATTGCATTTCAAATGTGGCTTCCCAATGAGCCTGTCTTCCCAAATCCAGCTCGATCTGCACTGCTGGCAGATCTTGTAGTGCCGCTTCATGGATGCCATCCGTCTTCACGAACAGGCCTTACTCCTCGTCAGTGTTGGAGTGCACCCTTCTTCTTAGCCTGGTGTGCGTCACACACCACGGCTTGATGCTGAAATGGCTTGAGCCATTCATTACTTATATATATATATATACAGTATATATATATAATAAGAACGCTACTAGGGGCTCCTGGCCTTACTACTAGGAGCAAGCACGCGACTAGGGGCTTGCCGCAGAGAGGACCCCTTCTTGCGTCCAGAAAGCAGGGCTTTGCTTCACGCCATCCAACGACAAGGACCGTCCCTAGCTTTGCTACCTGCCACACAGCTGTCGCGAAGTTCAATCCACTGATTCAATCCGCAAGGACATGTCGTATCCCATCAGTTTGGATGTCCTGCAGTAGTGCTACGAATTGCTGTGATGTGAGATGCCATTTTCTTTGCCACATATTCCTGACTCCAGCACCACTGAGTGGTAGAGGGAAACACTTTTCCAGGGACGTATGTACAGGCTCTATTTATGCCAAAAGAGTTACTGTAGAGCAAGAGTCCTGATGAACACTTCAAAACTCATGACTCTGACTCATGACTTTACACTTGGCATGTTTAAAGCTCATTACTTTATCATTATTCATGAAAAAACAAAAAACCTCCGGCCTGCCCGGGGCGGCTCTGATCGAAGTACCAACGCGTGAAACTGGAGGGAGACGCGAAGTGTCTAGGCAAAAGGTGATCGACGGCGAGTGCCTGGTCAAGTCAGCCGGTAGGGGAGACAACTAAATGCGGAACACATCGGGGGTCCTTTCATTGGGCTTAGATTGATTTTTGGACAGTTCAGGCAACGCTCTCATTCTTATGCTTTCCTTCAAAGAAGAAGAAGAAGAAGAAGAAACAAATGTCAGCTAGGCGATCTTTGGTTTAGAACCCTGACCCCGCCTCCATCTGATCTGCACGCTTTTCTGGACTTCCTTCGCACCATACTAACCTCCAAGCTTCAACAATTTCAATCCCAAAAGGACGGCTTCAAACTTTGCTTAGAAGTGAGATTTCTCTCACCTCATGCTACTGAAGGATTCAGGTTCGAAGACTTCGCTGTATACCGACTCTATACCTGCTGCTACTACGAATCAGAATGCCACTACTTGCAAAGCCCTTGTGAACGATTTCCCACTGGACAGGCGGCCTGGGCCAATCCTGCCCCACACTATACTCCTCCGACTCGTCTACCTAACCGGCAAGAAGACACAATAGTCTCATCATCATGTTATGTGTTATAACATCAACGTCTTAAATTACAGCAAATGGCGTTGTGCCCGCTGCAAGTCGTACTGGTGCTGGCACTGCATCTGCTCGAGGCTGAAGTCCCGCGGATTAAACAGCCCCGCGACGCATCCTAGGCTTTGCAACTAAATCACAACTGGCCCCTGAGGCCTGTTGATGGCATTTCACAGCAAATTTGAACTTTCGACTTGCATCTAATTTCTTCATTCGCAACACGTGTTTGGTGAAATAGCCTATCTATAGCACCGTCGCACAAGAAGGCACTCTTGTTGGTAGTGGCTAGGTGGTTGGCCAAGACATAACCTTGGTAGTGGGAATTGGGTAGGCATTATGTCTTGAACTCATATGCCTGCACCCTTCGGCGAATACAACTGCAAGCAAGGTCAGGCGTCTGAGCAATAGTCATCTCGACAACTAGCTTGACCTCAGAAGTCCAGATTCTGGATGTCCACCGATTTCTCTGATTTGCTCAGCTTCTCTAGTTGGGCGCGGCTTTTCCATCTTGGCCCTCCCTCTTGTTCTCTCATTCTTTCTCAAGAAGAATGCGCAAGGTGACTTCAGTGACTTTCAGAGAGTTCTACCTCTAACTGTCTCTCCCCTCCATTCAAAGCCAAAAGACTAGCCAAAGTGGTGGCTACCGGCTGTTTGTCCAACATCAGAGTAGGTTGCACGCGGCCGTCAAGGATAGCGATGTAGACCCTGCACGTCATGGAGACTGGAAGTGCTTACATGTTTGGGGCTCTGTGGCCCTCTCAAACCAGCAGAGAATGAAAAAGCAGTGCTGCAAAGGTCTGCAGAGACTGCAAAAATACAACACCGTAAGGACGCTACTAGGTGGAGGCCATGGCTATTAGGTTGGAGGCCATCGCTAGTAGGAACAAGGACGCTACTAGTCGCTGCAGCGTTAAACAAAAGGAAATGCACTGACATATCATGCATCTGAGTCACGGCTCCGGTTGCTGCATGGCGCTGACGTACATGGGTTCTCCATCCAGCATGAGAAAAAGAAGCTGAGGCCACAAGGACCCCGACCCTCCCAAAATCTATCTTGATCTCTGGGCCAAACTCAACAATAAACCTTCAGGCCCCAAGAGGATGCACAAAGACGCTGCACGTCCTTTCGCAATCTGCTTTCTTCATCACATATCACCTCGGCTACTGGCCTGCCGACTCATCTGGATGTCTCTCACACCATTGCAAAATGCTTTGCTGGAGAGAAATAAACTAAAAAACTCATTTACAGAGAAAGAGTTTGTGCCTAACAATTATTATGCCTGTTGCTATACTCTGTCTGCTTGCCAAGGCAAAAATTGCTGTTTAACTGTCCCAAGTGTCAACCAAAACTGTAAGCCAAGTAGAGTTTGGTAATCATTCCAGCAACACTCTCAACTTTAGAGCTACGTACACAGTAGGTTGATCACTCATGAGATTTGGCTCAAACAACGTTGAGCAAGAACGGCTGCAGCACACCATCAGTCTTTATCTGAGCCTTAAAACGGAAAGTTGACAACAAATGTCCCTAAGTTTGACATCAACCCACCAAATACACGCATGCTTCGGTAGAGAAGACACAAAACTTGGGATATATATAGTCTCGGTGGGAGGACAACAGCATCCTGTGAAGTGATTGCATGAATCCGCATGACCACAACTTTCACATTCAACCAGAGGTGCGAGGCTAGCTCGCTTTGGACCCTCAGCTATGTGCCCCTCACACATTCAGTGGGATTTTCTCTAGTCTCAACAACCGACCAAATACAATCACAAGGAATACTTAATTTGATGCTGAAGTAAATGGAGTATTCTGACGCAAGCCGGGAGCCAAATACAAGCGTCTGAGAGTATCGAAGAATGATGTGACGCACAGCACTCTCTGCAAGTTTTTCGTGGAGGGTGACCATTGACTCTGCCCTGTGCTTCTCAAAGGAAGAAGGCAAACCTCCATGGGCCTCTTTAGACCCAAACGGCTTGACATCATCCCAAACAACAGTTCTTCAAAATACCTGAGAAGAAGAACCGTGGCTGGTCAAAGGATTGTTGCTTAAAACGAACTCACCGTTGCCCTCCACTCACTTGTTATCACATCTGCCCCGCCAGCTCACTCCTTGCACCAGTCTAAACAGTAGCCAAATCTAATTCCTCTCAAAAAGGGTTCAGAAAGAATCTTATTTTGCTTCTTCTTTTCTTCTTCTTATTATTGTTATTCTTCTGCTTCTTCATGGCAGCTTCAGGCATGTGATGCGCTGTTGAGAGATATTTCCATGACAACATGGCCTGGCGGTGCAAGATCACCAAAGGGAATTGGTCAGAAGCAGGTGGCTCAATGGTGGAGTCATGCCATTGGATGTTATGTCCATGCCTGGCCAAAGGTAAACTAACGAATGCAAGAAGAGTTGAAGGACCCCACCTGTCACGAATCAGGTAATCCTCTGTTTTCTTCCCGTGCATGAAGCTCTTCAACTCTTTGGACCAACTCTTGAAGTGGATCTCAGTTGCCACAGCCTCCAGCGACGAACAGCAAGCATGGGCTGGACCCGACATGGGGTGTTAAAGGATTTTGTCAAGTACACTAAAGTCAGAAACACAACTGATGGAAAGGTGCTTCGAGTTGCGAACGAAAACATTGGGCAACCTGCAATGTTGTTGCATGCACGAGCAGTAGGATGGAGCCATCCGCCTGGAATTGGTCACTGGGAAGTCCACGGGGGGTCATCAATCATGCAATCATGAGCCGGCTGCATCTGTGGAAAATGAAGAAACTTGAAACCACTAACTAAGTCTGCTGTCAGCGTGTTTTGCTTCCATCCCCTCTCCACGGCCTGCTTGTAGTCTTCAATTTCTTCTAGAGGCACACTTGGCCTCAGAAAGATATCACAAACAAAACGGCCAGGTGGCTTGTGCATGAACTTTTGCCCTCACCTGAGCTCCTATTTTCTGCCGTGAAGTGTGAGGTCTT